TTCTTCTTCTTCTTCTTCTTCTTCTTCTTCTTCTTCTTCTTCTTCTTCTTTCTTCTTCCTCTCCATATGCGTCACTTGTCATTTTTCCCTAGAAATTTTTTCCAACCAAACCCTATCCTGGGTGCTAGCAATTGAAAGAGAAAACAAACCCCCATGGTGTTATTTTTAAGGAAGAGGAGAAATTTTACACAATTTCTTTTTAGAAGTTGTTCTGAAATGAGCTAATCTCCACCATGTTGTTTGGTGAAGAAGAAGGGATCTATTTGCAGCTTCTCATGCTGTAAAACGGAGCCCTGTGTTAGCCAGCTCCTTCCTTGTTAACAGCATTCTGAAATGGCATCACTGGGGATCTTTCTCTGTAGTTGTAGCAGCTTTCTTTTCCTCACTGCAGAATCCAGAAAACGAGGAGTGTCACACTGTTTTGTTTTCATTGCTTATTTTATGGTTCTCCTGTATTTGTCCGTTTTAATAACATCTTCCCTATGAAAGAAAAATAAACGCAGCTATTGATGTTCAGGACAATCATGCCCAATTATGGCATCTCTCCGTTTGAGGCTGTTTCTGCCCTGGCGTTTTCCCATTCCTTTATTTTGTATGTGGGAGATGCTTCAATGCAGTGTGTGAAAACAAGTTAATAGAAAGGCTCTGACAGAGTCAGACCCGCCCTATTCCTTTGATTGGAGGATGTTTTCATCGCTGTCTGAGAAAACACTGAAAAGAGACAAGAGCAAAGCCAGAGGAGAAAACCAATCACCTTGCCTCTAATGAACCATAGACTCATAGGCCAGGCCAACATGATTCAGCAGTGATTCAGAACAAACACAGTACATACAGAACTAGAATAGATGGTGGAGATGGCCAGGTTTAAGGTGGCATTATTTCATGCAAGAATGATTCCTTTTAAATTGATAATAAAGTTATAGGGTGATATTCCTTTTAAGCTGACAATAAGATAGCCAGTGGACACTCTTGTTTAATCCCACTCACTGCCTTGCTCCTTCTAATCGGAATTAAAAAAAATAAATACTGAAAACTTTAAAAAAACTTCTATCTGGCAAAGAGACAGTTTTAGACAGAAAAGAGGCTGCCCTCTTTTCCTTGCAATGTCTGTCTGTCTGTCTACCTACCTACCTACCTACCTACCTATCTATCTTTCTATCTATCTATCTAATATGTATATTTCTGTAGCCCATCAAGCTTGTAATAAAAAGAGGGTGGCACCAAAGACCAGAGTTTTTCTGCCAGCCAAGTTTCATAAGAAAAATTAAGTAAACTAGGCAACTGGAAAGGAATGGAAGGTCATTCAGACTGTGGAGAAAAAGGAAAATACAAACACTTGAGAAAAGTGTCTATGGCAGCAGCCAAAGAGAGGGGAAGAAGTACCAGTTAAAGCAAGTTAGAGGGAAAGAGAGAGCAAAGCCAGACAAATGTGCACTTCTAGACATAAAAAAGAGAAAATTTTCACAGTGGTCAAGCCAGAATTTTTCCTTGAAATTCCAACTGTTTGAAGACTCCTGAGCTAGAATGGACTGAATGTGATAATGGATGTTGTTAAGTTCGGTCGGTGGGTCCCAAAGATAGACGAGGCATGAGTAGTGAACAACAGCTCTTTATTAAGTAGATAGATTCTGAGACAAAAACCCCAGCGCGCAGCAGCTCTTCTTATAGAGCTGGCCGCGGCTAGGCAGCCAATGACAGCTCTTTGAGTTTGCCGCGCTTGGTTTTAGCCAATCGCGGCAAACCCTGTATGAGCCAATCAGGAACGTTCAAGCCGACCAATCACGATCCGGCTTGTCTGGACCAATCGGAACGCAGGGTTTCAAGACTGCTAATATGGAACAGATGTCCCAATAACAATTCTCGCTTGTACATAACAAAGTTATGAGCCAAGGTGGCACAGTGGTTAGAATGCAGTATAATGCAGGCTCTTTCTGCTGACTGCTGACTGCCTGCAGTGTGGCAGTTCGATTCTCACCGGCTCAAAGTTGACACAGCCTTCCATCCTTCCAAGGTTGGTAAAATGAGGACCCAGATTGTTGGGGGCAATAGGCTGACTCTGTAAACCGCTTAGAGGGGGCTATAAAGCACTGTGAAGTGGTATATAAGTCTGTGTTGTTATTATGTTTCTGAAAAGCACATAGGTACAAAAGGACACTCACTTACAAGATAGACTGTACGAATCATTGTGTATGTGGCTCTGGAGAGGAATCTTATTTGTTTGTCCACCCCTTTTTTTTCACCAGATGGCCTGTGAATACCTTTCATGGGAGGTTCTCGAGCGATGGATTGTGAGTAAGTTACCATCACTTTAATTTTAAGTTCCAGCCTGGATCCTAAGCCTAGAGGAGAGATAGGCAACTTTTAAGGCACATTCATCATTGTTAGAAAGCAATAGCAAGGCAGCCATTTGGTGTGGCATACCAATCACAAACTGCTTCTGCACTGGGAGTGTAGCCAGTAACAACACATTGAAAACACTCTGCTCTCAACTTTCCTCTGGCTTTTTCTTTCTGTTGTAGTCATTGGGTAAGAACAGGATGCAGACATATAGAGGAACAAGCCCATGTGAAAATCTTCGCAGATACAGCAAGAGGGACAAAAGGGAATTAACAGACAGAGAAGTAACAGAGAGAGGAAATACAAGCCAACTTCTCTCTTTTTATTCTACTTGGACAAATTATTATTGCTATTATTACTGTTTATACATAGCCTATAAAATAATTCTGACTGGATTTAGTATGTGGATGAAAGTTCATTCTCCAAGCAGGTTGGTTGTGGGTTGGTTTTCAAATATTTCATTACCAGGCTAGGTAACATTTTAAGTGAAATTTAGGAGATGACAATGTCCTTCTGTTTATAAGGACTTCAGGTATGGGTGTGTCAAGTGAGGTTCTTGTGATGGGTCAGCTGTGAGTCATCAGTGAGAGTCTTACGACAGGTCTGGTGATAGTGCTTTTAGTATTTGTACTTTTTACTTTATTTTTAGGATTTAGTACTTTTGATTACTGAATCCTCCTAAAGAACTAAGATATTTAATGATAACATTCTATTATATGCACTGTCCCAAGTATTGCAATGTTGAAAAGTTTCCCTTCCTATTTTATCCAAGTGCATCACTACTACTACTACTACTACTACTATTATTATTATTATTATTATTATTATTATTATTATTATTATTATTATTCCCTGTTTTTTTTTGTTTGTATAAACAAGGAATAAAATCAAAATCCCTCTTTTCTCCAAACTCAGCTCAGGGTTCTGAAAATCCGTAACTCATCACAGACTTTTAAGAGGAAAACACTTCCAAAACTGAATGTTATTAGGAAGAGGTAAAATTTTCCTCCTGACAAGAATCATTTTTGCACTTTTTAGCCAGTTTTTACACACAGGATCACTCTTCCCTCACTTCCTATGAAAATAGGAAAATATTTGTCCGTTATCTTAGCTCGGGTGGATTCTCTTGTCTAGCATCACATTTGGCAAAATTATGCTCCATGCATTTCCACTTCAAAGAAGATGTAAGGATTTGCTGCTCTTTGTGATGCTTTGACTTAACTTGCCCTATTCATTTATGCTCCCAGCAACTTTTGGACCCCTGCTGGCAACTCTTCAAAGCTCTAAAGCAGGGGTGTCCAACCTTGGCAACTTTAAGACTTGTGGACTTCAACTCCCAGAATTCCTCAGCCAGGAATTCTGGGAGTTGAAGTCCACAAGTCTTAAAGTTGCCAAGGTTGGACACCCCTGCTCTAAAGGTTTGCATTTCCTTCCCCCCCCTCCCCAGTAATGTTTCCCCCCCCCCCCCTGCAGTGGGGTTCTTGCTTTGCCACAGTTGCCTGGGCTCCACCCAGAACTGCCTGGAACTTTGGCGGATGGCTCTTCGTGGCTCACTCTACATCACACTGATACGAGATGAAGTGCTTTCTATTCACAAGGTGACAGAAGAGGCCTTTAGCAGCATTAAAGGGTAAGTAATGTGCTGAAGTGTGTAAGGGCTCGAGGGGTAATGATCCTGCACTGGTTAGACTAGGCTAATACCCATTTCCACCACTGGGGAAGAGAAAACAGATTCCAAGGATGTAAGAGAAGTTGGTCATTTCAGGAATTTTTCTAAAAAAAACCTTGTGATATCCTCTTCTCCACCTGTTTTATACCAGTAATAATTGGTCCTTCTTGCTGCAATCTAATCTGGTGTGTTCCAGAATTGTTGGGAATTCAGATCACTGAATTTCCAATCAGCATGGCCCAAGTAGAAGGATGCCAGATAGGATAAGCTCATCTTACTTTTCTGGCTCTGTCTGGATTAGGCTGCTTGTAGAATTATTATCAAATTTCATGTAAAAGTATATAGTTTCCAAATTACCGGAAGTGGTGGTTTCATTCTAGAAACGTGCAGTAATCAGATCCAAGGTGTTCTGGATCCTCTATAGATACCCTTCCTGTATCTTAAAGGAGCTCCTGACAAGTATCATGAGAGTGCCTACTTGATACACGCACCTCTTTTTCACTCTGTGCTCAATTGATCAGATTACCATCTTAAATACTGCACCCTGTTCCAGCTACTACATTTTAAGAGGTATTCAGATAAACTGAGCATCCAAAGAAAACAGTAAGGATGTTCAGATGACTGGAAATGAGCTCTTCCAAGGAGAGGTTGGGAGAAGATCCTTCAGGAAATTTAAAAAAAAAACCTGCTGGTGTATGTGGCAAAGTAGATTCTTAGGAAGTTTCTTTTAACATTCAACAGAGTTTGAATTAGATTCCCAGCAGGGAGTTGTACTCAAGGATCCCACTCACTTTTGAACTTACTAATTTTATGACTTGACCTGTATTAATAAATAATCAGTACTATCTCTCCAAGGATTTGGTTTGTGGCTTCCTATGACTTCCTTTCAAAATCCTGATTCCAGGGACTAAACTAAACATCTTCTATAAGTAAAACTCTTCTCGCTGGACTTCTGCTTCACTGAACAGTGGCTTTATTTAGAGCGGGGATTCTTAAATTGTGACTCATGCCCCTTCAACGTCCATGAGCAAATTTGAAGGAGTCATTGATGTGGAGGCTTATATTCACAAAAAGCAGGAACAAGGTCAGAATTTGTTCCTGGTATCTCTGGGTTCGCTCAAGCCAAGCAAGCAGTAACGGCCACAGCTGGATTGGAGGGAGGGATAATCCCATAGGCTTAACTGTCTGTCAAAATCACCCACCAATCACAGCAGCACTGTGACTGAGATATGGTTTCTTGCTGGCTGATGACTCCTGATGTGGCACCCAGCATGTAGACAATTGCTGTAGAAGTAAAGTTCTTGTTAACACATTTCAGTATTTCTGCTCATTACTTTGGATTCTAACCTTTAAAAAGAGAAAGGCCTTTTGTTGGATGGTAAAAGAAAAGATGAAGCAGTGGTGATCAAAGTAAGCTTAAATAAAAAAAAGTGTGAAGTAACTTGCATACCTTTGGGCTTGACAAGGGGGTTTGTTATTGGAGAAGAATGTTATCAGTATGTAACTTGTCAGAAAAAAACTGTCAGATGAGAGTATGAAGCCAAGCAAAACCAGAAACCAGAAGCCAAGCAAAACCTGAAAACAAATCAAGCCGTGAAAAAAACTTGAGATTTTTCCATTCAAAGGAAGATGAACTGAAGATTTGGGTAACTGTATGAATGCAAATCACTTAAAGTGGACAAATTGCATCGTGAGATGCACTGATGGGGCATATTCTATATCACAATGTCATAGAATTTTTTTATATGCCAGAATCTCATAGTTGAATTAGATGTAGGCAAGGTCTTGCTTTAGAAGAGTAAAGTCCAACAATTCAGGAAGTTTTACAAACTATTACGTGAATTGAACAAAAACTAGACCTATAAAGATTGTGTGAAGAGATGGCTGACAAATACATGTTTTCACTGTTTTATAGTGAGTCAAGATGTTTGACACCCATTTTCAAATGGAGAAATGAACTCTATGAAAAGACATACTAGTTTATCAACTGTGATTTCAGTATTTATTTAGTATACTTTTGACAAGCTAGAGATTTTTAAGACCTCGTTGCAAAGTGACAATTTCCTTGAACCTTGTGACAAATAAAAATAATGAATGGGAAAGTTAAACTCGGAAAGAGTAAAACTGAAAATTTAGACATGTTTTTTGCTTTGAAACTATTGGAAGCGGTAATATAGATTAGTAAATATGTTTTATATTTAATTCATCTTTATTTGAAATACACTTTCAGAACAAATTCTCATGTGCAACAAATCAAAATATAACTGGATATTACTATTCCTGATAAGGATTTCTTTGAAAATAATTCCTAATAATTTCTCTTCCTGAATTACTAATCAGTGTGTAAAAAGGCATACAAAGAATTAAGTGAGACAGCTATAATCATTCTGATTCAATTTGCAATACCTTGTTTTTGAGAGGCAGATTTTTTCCATTTTGCTCCTATGAAAACCATACGTCATTCCAAAATAAATGTGGAAGGAATAATGCAAGCAGCTGTCTCAAAAAAACCCAACTATACTTCAAAAATAACGTAAAATTAATCAAGCTTATTCTTCTCATGAAAAATATGCTTTTAAATGAGTTTCTTGGTTGGAAATGAAGGTTTTTTAAAAAAAAAAACACATTGCAGTATCTATCATTTTTGTATAATATGGGGATTAAAATTTAATGATTAAAAGTAAGCTATACAATTATTACTTGACCAACTGTAGTCCCAATGAATTCATTAGTTTTTAAGGGGATATACAATAATCAAGTATAATATGAAGGATTACACTTCAAGATTTGAGAAACTCTAGCTTTGGGAGAACAAAGAAATGGATGGGTTGTGGTGGAATGTAGTCTGGATTCCAGGAAGGAAGGGCTCTTTTCAAGAGGGCAAAGAGGTAGTGGAGCTTAGAAAATTTGGTTGGCAGGAAGAGGGTTAAAACAGCTCCACCCTAGTGTTCCCCAGAATATATCTATTGTTGTGTAAATAGTTACTTTAGTCTGGCAAGATTCTGTCTATAGGTAAAGAAAACTGAGTAAAGGAAACTGAGCCTCTTCTTGGGGCCTGACAAATGTTCTTTCTCTCTCTTTACAGCTATGGGAAACGTATCACTGATATTAAAGATTGTAAAGAGCATGCTCTACAACAAAGGTAGGAATGTCCCTTCCCTTTCTGGCTCTGGGCTTCTCTCTGCGGTTTACTGTATATCCATTGCTCTTCTTTATTTGCTTTATTTACTTGTTTTCCTTTTAGTCTCATCAGTCTTCAACTTTCCCTTCTGTCTGCCACCACCCTCCCAGACCCATTTAACCAGAGTTTTCATGATACTTTTTTTCGTCATATTGCTCTGCAAACATCTTGGCCCTCTTATCTTGTATGTTGGACATTCTCTTCTGTGGTTGCAGTCCTACCTATGACATGGTGTGAGCTTCTTAATCCTTTTGATGCTTATAGATTATGCTAAGTTGTGTTTTGCTTTAGTGGTGCTTGTTTGTAAGTTACCTTGAGCCAGTCTGTAAAGTGTGTGTGTGTGTGTGTGTCTAACAATGCTTAGCACATAGTGCTTATAAGCAGTATCCTGAATAATGGGAATTGAGCTTCTTATAATCTTCTCAGCTGTCCTTACCACTCTCTGTATGGACTTTCTATCTGAGGCACTGCTGCCAACAAACCAAACGATGCAGTTTGTTAAAACGCTCTCAGTTGTGCCTCTGTAAAAAATGGCCAGGACTGAAAGAGAAAGATATGCTCTCCTCATCCGACACAGGAAATGCAGACACTGGTTTGCACACTTCACCAAGTGTGGAGAGACCAATTCAGATTGTTAGTTATCCTGACTTGCTGTATGATCCCAGCCAATAGAATGAACTTCTAAGCTCATGGTTAGAATTATGTTTGAAACCTGACATGCTGATAATGGTAGATAAGTAGCAACTATTCTGCTTCTTTCCTCTACCCCCATCTGTTGTGCATCACAACTAGCAACTTCGCTATCACATCCTATTGTGAGAGAGGAAGAGGTCAGGCTCAAGGGGAGCATGCCTCTGTGTGCCAGATGTGATGGAATAGCTGTGGGGAAAGATGGTTGTCTTCATATCTGGAACCCAGAGGCATCCTTTTTGACCATGGAGAGGAACAGTTTTCTGGCCTAGATAGGTCTTTTGTCTTATTCAATGCAGTTTTAATGAACCATAACAACCCGAAAGGCAAGGATGGAAGGAGCTGCCACAAAGTCCCTTCTGCTACTTCTCTCACTTTGACTGTAGATTTAAATGACATTATCCAGCTGGTAACTCTGCAGTGTTACCCAGTTCTGCAGTCTTTTCTCCATTGTAACTGCAGATGCTCCTGGCATTACTTTTTATAGAAGTACTGATTAAATACTGCCTTGACTGTCAAAAGATAAAGGGAGGTTGCATTTTTAATTTTAATTGGTGAGTGCTGAGATAATTTTTACTGCAATAGAGAGAAATCTGCAGGCCTTTAGTCATCATGGTTAGATATTGAGAATTGTAGCTCAGCAGTGGAAGGTAACAGCTCTGGTATGTAGGAAGATTCAAGTTCTGAATGAATGGGCAGAGTTTCAGTGTGTACAAAGCAGAGGATTAAACCTTCAAGTCAAGCTTGGCTTCTGATGTTATTGTGGGACACATCCATGTTATTTTCTCAGCAAGAATATAGAAGGGCTTGGCCATTGTTTTCTTCCCAGCCTAGCCTATAGGCTTGGTGGGCTCCCATCCAAGTAATAGTGAGGCTCAACCTTCTTAGCTTTGTGAGATCAGTCAGCATTGGCCAGATGCTACCGCCTAGCTGAGCAATAGATAACTAGCACACATTTGCAATAGTGTCGAATATCTGTAGCTCAGGTGTAGAATGAGGGTGATTAGAAAATAGAAATCTATGTCTACCACAAACCCACGCATACAGACCAAATCCTCAGCTTCTCAAGCAACCATCCCACTGCACTGCACTGCAAGAAGTTGTGTCCAGACTCTGTTCAGAAGGGCCAGGAAGCACCACAACACTAAGAAAAGCGGAAGAGAAATGGCTGCTCTCTGTAATGGCTATCCAAAAATGTCATATTTCAACAGAGCACCCAAACCAAAATACCCCACATAGCACCAACTCTCAAACAATGCTCTCCCCCCAGCAGTTCACCTCCCAGTGACTTTGACCTGATGTAATCTCCTTAACATTCGGAAACCAACCCACAAGCTTGGAGAACGAACCCTGACTCCCAAACACACATTTACTTAAGGTAAAAGGTAAAGGTTCCCCTCACACACACGTGCTAGTCATTTCTGGCTCTACAAAGCCGAAGAGCCAGCACTGTCCAAAGACGTCTCTGTGGTCATGTGGCCGGCACGACTAAATGCCGAAAGCGCACGGAACGCTGTTACCTTCCCAAAAAAGTGGTCCCTATTTTTCTACTTGCATTTTTTACCTGCTTTCAAACTGCTAGGTTGGCAGAAGCTGAGACAAGTAACAGGAGCTCACTCCGTTACATGGCTTTAAGGATTCGAACTGCCAAACTGCCGATCTTTCTGATTGATAGCTCAGCATCTTAGCCACTGAGCCGCTGCGTCCCTTTCACATTTACTTACCTTGATCTAAAGAGGAATGGAGGAAAATTCCTGTTTTAGCCAACTCAGTATTACAATCTTTTATTGATGCTGCTTGCTTTGGCCTTTAAAAAAAGTTTTCTGATGTTGATGACATGCAGGCAGGGTGCTGGGAGGGGTGGAATTCTTTTCATATGAATTCTTTGGCTGGTTTCTTGACAGTGGACAATTACATCGAGGCCGGCGTAATTTCCTGAGGAATGCTGTGCGGGAGATGGAGGCTATTCTGGCCAATGAACCTGGACTGCTGGGCCCCAAGGCAAGTCGGTCAGAGAGGTATAGAGGTGGGCAAGAACTAAGAGATGTGAAGGTGCAAGTAAATTTATTTATGCTGTGCGTGAGCAGTTAGAGCTGGGCCAATGCAGACGCAAGAGGGATTTGGGTACATAAAATGCCCACAGGGCTCTATATGTGAGAAGGATGAACCCAGAGCAAGTACAAATTACAACCATTTGTATAGTGAGTGTTCAAATTTACAATAACACTACAAAAAAACAACAACCCTGCTCCATCACAGCATCCCATGGTCACATGATCAGAATTCAGGCGTTTAACAACTGGCATGTGTTTACAACAATTGCAGTGTCCTGGGATCAAAGGATTGCTATTTGCAACCTTCCCAGTCAGCTTCTGGCAAACAAAGTCAGTGGGGAAAGCTTAACAGTCAAACAATTCACTTTACATTGCAGTGATTTTCTTAACAAGCCTGGCAAAGAAGGTCTTAAAATCAGGTGCAGTTGTGGTCATAAGTCGAGGACTATCTATATTCATACACCTGCATTGGCTTACTAGTTCTTGATTTGATGTGCCAAGGTCTCTAATAATGGCTCGTGTTTTGTCTGTAACTGATGCTCAGTTAACAGGGCCTCCGTGGAATGGAAACACATTTTGAAAAGAGAAGGCTTTTGTGCTGTCGGTGTTTGATGTTTTTACACCCTTAGTGTTAACAAGCAAATGAAAATAATAATAATATTTGCTTCGGTTTCCTGGCTGAATTAACTTGATGAAATATTTGGTCAGTCTAAAGGCGTTTTTTTCCCTATTGGTGTTCTAGATTATACTTACGGAGGCAAGCTTTTCTAAACTCATTCTGCAGGAATCCTGGGTAAAATAATGAAGTGGTTTAAAGAGTGCAAAAGAGCTGGAAGAGATTTCCATCCTTGCCTGTCTGCCCGTCTTTTTCTGTATTTGCCCTACCTAGCTGCTTTTCTCCAGTTAACTTTTTCTGTAACCATCCTAGCAAAAAAGCTCCTCTAAGGATTATGGGAATTGGTATGAACCCTGGAAAAGCACCAGGTTAGAGAACTACTCCATGTAACAAAGCCGGTACCCAAGATAAATACCAAGGAACATATACAGTATATTCCTATCTGGTAAAGGAACATTAAAGAGGAAAGAAAGGAGTGAGTCATTAAGGGAGACCTTGAAGGAAAAATTACATAGCCCTAGGACAGAAGGAAATTTGAGAAATTCAAAATTATCTTCATTTTTTTTTTGGTAGTATAAACTCAAAATAATGCCATGTTGATTTTGTTTAGTATAAGATTCGCAAAATTTTGGTAAGCTTTCAGGATTCTGTTATTCTGCCTCAATGTTTCTTAAAGTGTAGTCCCAGAACTCTCCCCCCCCCCTTTCAGGGATCTACAAAACAAAAATTATTTGTCAGTTTATGTTGAAAAATCTTATAATATAGAAGTCCAATCAAGCCCTCATGTAAAGCAGTAATGGCAGCAAATGCATAAATTGTAGTTCCAAATATGATAAATATTGATAAATGTAAACCACACAAACAAAAACTCTTTTGAGAGATCCTCCTTGATTTTTAAAATTGGGAAGAGATTCTGAAAGAAAAAATTGTTTAACAACACTGTTCTACCTTACTACAATAATGAGCATTGCTGGAATCTGTGGCCTACTATTTGTGTCTTACAAATATTTCTTCATTCTTTCCCTTAAAGTTATTTCCTCTTCTGTCTCATATTTGTCTCATATTTCCTCCTCCCTCCTTCCTTCCTTCATCACTTTAGTCATGAAGAAATCTTTGACATATGGAAAACTAAATGTGGCTCTTTATACTGATTCCAGCAATTTTAATAATTGGTCTGCCGATTTCAGGCTCTTCACTTCTTTAAATGTTCTTTTTGTGCTTTAAAATCACTCCATTATTTTGACTCAGAATTCACAATAGAACAGAGATTTGGGGAAGTTATTTGTACTATTGAGATATGTTTGCCTGTCTACTCTAAAATCTTTGGAGAAAATGGACATAATTTTCATAGTGGGAATTCTACTTGGAATGAGATGCCTAATTCTCTTTTGTCTGATACAATAGGCAATTTATGTCTTCATGGCTCTGTCATTCTGCCGGGATGAGGTTGCCTGGCTGTGCAGACATAGTGAGCACAAAGGCAAGAACCAAGAGGAATTCACTGACAGGTATTGATCAGGTTGGGGAAGTGTCATCCAAGGATTGGAAGTTTAGACATGAGGTAAACTCTAAAGTACGGGTGTTAAACTCACGGTGTCACATTGCCATCACATGATGTATTGTGACATTTTTTCCTTTTGCGGAGCTGAGGTGGGCATAGCCTGCACATGAGGCATTGCATCCAGCCTGCGGGCCACCAGTTTGACACCCCCGTTCTAAAGCTTTCAAAGTTAATGAACCTATGTGGTTCACCATAGTTGCCAAAATGTCCTTTTCTATACCACTGTTAGAAATGCAAGCTTTAAATCTTCACAAGGGATGGAAAAGACCATTTGAGAAATCATCCTTTCTTCTCTTTGGGGGATAAATGTTCACATTTCATATTGGAATGTACTTGTGTTGTGCTAAATTATGGTTTGACCAATCATCTATAAGTCCTGATCTACACATTAAAAACTTAAGTCATGGCCTACAAGTTGCAGGGGTTAGAAGGACCCATTAAACAACTGGCCAAAGAGCCTATGTAGCTTAACATGATGGCTAAACTTGTGTTGATGAGCCCTGATACTACTGCCCACTGGATTTGCAACCCAAACTCATAGAACTGTGAGTAAGCTCAATCTGCTTTTTCTCAGCATTGTTCTTACCAGCTGCAACTTGCAAACTGCAATAATGAGAAGCAGAAAGCAAAGAAAGTAATTTTTATTTTATTTATTTATTTTTATTTGTCAATTGCTTACAAGATAATAGGTATAAGTAAAAACATAGATATGAACACATGGATACATATAAGAAAAATTATATATATATTCTTAAGTTTTCGCGGGTA